GTGTGTGTGTGTGTGTGTGTGTGTGTGTGTGTGTGTGTGTGAACATATCTGGGCCAGAGCGCACGTCATGTTGTCTGTGTGCACGTGTGTCGCCATGTGTTCGTGCATTCACATAACAGACAGAGGCTTTAAATACTCATTTCATCCCGATGCCAGCACATGCACCGTCTGTATGTGTGCGCGTGTGGTATTGCGAGAATAGGCCGTTTGTCGCCTGAGGTGCAGCTGTGACACCGTTTAGTGGAGAGCCAGTCCGTCAGTCATTGAATCCTCCACACAACAACTGCAGTTTAATAACGACACACAACTTGAAACAAGAGGTTGTTTAGACGTCACAGCAAAAGTTGTATGGCTTGGGAAAAAGAAATATCTCTGACATGCTGCCGTGTCAGATTTTATCTTAAAACTACAACAATTCCTAAGTCAACGTCCGGCTGGAAATGCTAAAGCGATGCCGGTAGTACCTCCATTTGTTTTATGTGCTCCTGTAATTTGGCTTTTCTTGCTTTACTTACGTTGTGCTTTTCATCTTTGTTAGTGTTGGCGTGACTAAGCTGGATCGTGGCCGATATTCTTACTTCAGAAGCTGGAGTGCAGCTCGCTGTTGGCCGCAGAATATGAAATAAGCCCCGAAATATTCAGACCACCAATATTCAGGCCAATGGCAGGGAAATGTGGGAATTTAGACATGTAGGAGCAGAGTCAGGCAGTGACTTATAATAGTAGTTGTTTTTTGTTTGCATTTTGACAACAATTTAATGTCTAAAAAGCTGTGTTTTGCAGCTTTAAAGGTTTTTTAAAAACAGTTAAACTGTGTGGCCAGTGCCGAGACGTCCATTTCTATAACTTTTTATGTATTAAGTTTCTACAATGACGCAGGTTTAAATCTGGCTCATTAAATCTGGACAGTAGAAATGAGAAATTGCCCCTTTTCTCCTCCACAAACCTACATCTGGTCAAACGCAGCTTCTCCGCACTATTCTAAGGTGAAGATAAACCCCCTGGAACATGTAGAGATATGGACTTTAACTTCACAGAAGTCCTATTTCAGTGATCCCAGGCTGAAGCTTTAAATCTGCGCCGTTGCTCCCCTTGGAGATTTCGAACCAGAGCTGAAAAGAAAGAGGACACGGCAACACAGATAACCAGCTATTATTAATGAGATCACTTAATACGCATTTACACGGATGACAAGGGCATTCTGGAAGGAACCCATTTCTCTGAATAGAGCAGGTACCCAAAATATTTGATCTCCAGTGCAGTTTTTATTTTTGCTGCTCTTCTCTTCTTTTTACTTTTGATGTCAAACGTTACGGTGTTCAACAAAAGACGGCCTGCTGTTATTTCAGAATTCTCTCCATTCGGAGATGATGAAGATGTATTGTGTCTTCTATGTGAAATTCAGGGTAGTTATGGTCAGTGAGGGCAACTGAATCACTCACTAAAGTCATTTTTAGATCCTCAGCAAAGACATGCGAGGACGTCCTAAAGTCCATAACCCCAAAATGTCTTGAGGACTTTTGAGGGGTAGCAAGTACCACTTTCTTTATCAAGGTGAGAAGGACGCAGCACTGCCACTTTATTTAGGACGGGCACAATACTGCATACAAGCTCAGCCTCTGTTGATTTGAGTTTGAGGACTTCTAAAACAAAAACACATGCTCTCCAAATATCTAACTATAGAGGAAACCAGTCTAAGGTCCGTTATGATTTAAGAAATCCGCCCACTTGCAGCCCAGAGAAGCACGTTCCGGCCTTTTTCCTCTTGCTCCATCCGTCATCCATCATTACTTTCTCAGAGAGCAGATTTGTACCTCCAGCCTCCTTTTTCTCACCCTTTCTTTCAGACATGTTTGGTCAAATTTCCAAATTAAATCTGGTTTATCTCATTCCATTTCTTCCTCCTTTAGTTCATCCATCTGAATGTGTCCTTTCACCTCTTCTCCAGGTGTTCCTCGTCTTCCCGTCCTCCATCTATTTCCTTTCTGTTTACTTATGTCCATCTGTTTCGTGTCACCTTCTTCTCAGGCCTCACTTTGTTTAACATTTTCCTTTAAATAACGATCTATATTTCTCTGTTTTTCCAATGTTTCATTTGTTCCCGTCTCTTTCCCGACACCTTTTCTTCCGAACCGCGTTCGCACTTCTTTTATCGAGGACAATATTCTTCCTGCTCTGCCGGTTGGTCAGTTGCGCCTGATATTTTGTTGTTCCATCCCTTTTCTGATAATCTTTGACATCTCTTCCTCTTCCTCCCCCCCCCTTCCTTCATCCTTTTCTCTCAGTTATCTCCCTCTCTCCATCTTTGCGTAATGTTTTGGCTTACAAGACCTCTGACGTGTGCATGTACTCGGAGCCCAGAATTTCCCATAATGCTTGAGTCAGTGACGATAACAACCAACTGTCGCTGACAGACACAACCACGCAGTGGTTGGGCAGTGAAACAATGGAGACACACCCCACCAAGCAGCAGTCTGTGTTCACTCACTCATTGGCCTTTGTCTTCTCTGTCTGTCCATTTGTGACTCTTTAAATACGTCCACTCTTTGCACTTTGAGATAAAGTTGTTATTAACATGATCAGTAAAGGAAAATGGGTGTTCTGCAGGCATACATTGAGTAGGGTGCGCAGGGGTTGAATTTTATAAAAATGTTTAAAATGAATGACAGCAGGACTTCGTGAAATTAATAACCTGGCCGCGCCAAATGTGAGTGTAACATAGTTGATGCTGTTTGATGTAGCACCTTGGAGAAATATAATCCCACACTGTTCATTTATGCCGTCCCAAGGGAGGTTTGTTTCAACAGTGCATATTTCACCAGTTTCCGACCTTTGAAACGGTTCATGTGCAGCAGCAATTCAGGGAAAACTCATCAACATTCTCTTATTGTGTTCATTTTTTATTTCAAAACAGTAAGAATCTATTCTTCCCTTTGTTTGAGTGCTAAGGGCCTCGGTATCCAGTCTGGAAACCAATTCCCCAATACTGAGCGCAAAGTGCATGCCAGTGGCTGAGGGTTACTCAAGATCCACACATCTGTTACCACATATGCTTGCACCCTCCCGCTAACCCCGCTGGGTGTGTCCTTTTTCTGTCCTCTTAGCTAAACTCCTCCACCTCCTCTTTACATTCGCAACCTAAATTTCATGTTTTAAGTACTTAGCAGATGAACAGACTGTTGGAGGTGAAATAACAGCGAGACAGATGGAGGAGACGGGATAGAGGTTCTCTGAAGAGGCTGGGATGGATCTTAATCTAGAGTCCTCAATCATGTCACATCGACCAGTTGATTAGACTAAAAAAAGGAAAACATGAAATACAATTTCACTGACAATCGTTATCTGGCAATATTCAGTAAGATATGTTATCAGGACATCAGCATTCATGCTTTTCTAGTCGCCGATCTCTGATAATGACGCATTGTAAACAACTAATCCGTGTTCAATTTGATAGGAAGAGAACGAAGGTTACGTTCAGTTGTATTATGATGCGTTCAGGCTCTGCTCAGTGAAAATGAGTACTGGGCGAAGATGCGTTCACATGTGATCTCGTCAAATGTAGTGTTGGTTAAAAACAATGTGATCAGGGATCTCTAAAAGTTATATTTGCTCCCTTTTTTTCTTTTGTGCTGATCCGATCTGTGACTCTCATCCGTGATCTGCACCGTGACTACTCCTTGCACTGAATATATGTTCTTGTTAATTAGATATCAATCTTGCACTCCCTCCATTGGAAAGCAAAATATGTTGTTTTCAGAGAATAGACACAGGATGTTGGAACGGGGTGGTATTTGATCATTCGTGTGGCTTTAAAGAACAACACCATGTAAAGCCTGTTCCCCGCTGCACGGCCAAACGTGGGCTAACCAGGTGAGATATTATTCATTACAACATTTCTGCGATCGTTTTCCACACCGCCGTTGCCAGCGCGGATGATCTGTCACCTAAAATGACGTTTCCAATAAACAAACAGGAGCGTTTGATTCAGCGTTGTCCTGGCGGAGGGAAGCTGCACCTGCCACAGCGGGATGAGTTGAATTGCAACTGGCACTACGGCTAATCCTCCCCGTCGCTCTGTTTTACTTTGGCAATCCTCTATCACTTTTGCTGTTGGCTCTTGCCCTGTTTCTACACGGCTAATCCACCTTCCATTTGTCTCCCCCCCTCCCTTTTTTACTTCCCTCCGTGTCTCTGTCTCGGGGGCAGCTGGTAGCCATCACAGAGTGAAGGCAAAAGTTGTTCCTCTAATATAAACTGAAGGATGACATTTCCTCCC